ATGCGTTATATCTCTAATTTTACATGTAGTCCCTGTGTTAGTCACATCTGCGTCCCCTAATCAAGTACTCACAAACTAAAAAGAAAGAGTTGCTTATCAAAATTAACCATCAACTAAAGAGTTGGAGTTTGTCAATTGAAACTTTTAGATATAATAATTTTATTTGAAATTATTAGTTTTGCTCATCAAACTGCAGAGCTAGCATATTATGACAATATTCCCAGTACTTCTATTACACAACTAATTTTTCAAGTAACAAAACAAAGTCCACACATAAAAAAAAAAACTTTCCCGGCGCCATGAATGAACTCCACAGGTCTGCCGCTCCTAGTCTCATTGGAAAGGATCAACCGTCCGAATATGAGAAGAAGAAAAATAGATAGGAGGAAAAGAACGAAACAATCCTTTGGAGTTTGGATTCGCCATCTAGCCGTTCAAAGAGTATCTTTTGAAATGGAGTATTGTTGGGTTGTAATACGATAGTGATCTGATAGTATGACTAGTATTATGTTATAATATGAGTATTGTTATATAATTTAGTAGAATTATATTTCCTATAAAAATTGAAGTAGGTTATTGTAATGTATATGTATCCTGATTTTAATAATAATACACAACATTTTCCATCATATTCTGATTTTCAACTATATTAGCATTGGCGGCAAGCCGCAAAAACAACAGTGGCAAAGGAACAGAATTTAGAGGTATTGATTGTTAGAGCTATTAAATAATGTTAGCGATAACGAATGAAATTAAATATTATTAGTGAACAAATTTGTAATTTATCCCAAATATGATAGTAGAGTCGGAATGTTTTTTTTTATGATGCATCATTTTGGATATTTCATTGATGGGTAAACACTAGTATTGATTTAGAAGTGTACTTATATGAAATAATATTTAGGCTCTCTGTAATCAGTAACAATGAGCTGTTACTATCAGTAGAAATGAAATTATAGATGCTTTTGAATCTTGCTTGGTTTTGTTATTCATCAATGTGATGTTTTTAGTATGCAAGCAGGAAAAAGTTGCAGAAAATGTTTTGGATGGATGATATCTTAGCTACCGGAGATTGCTATTGAACTTTCATACTTGTCACTAAAGACTAAAGAGTACCCAAACAAGAGTACACGACAGGAAAACCGGCCACCCTAAACCGATCTGGTCGCTAGAATGAGTGACCGGAAATTTGGTCGTTAAATAGCGATCAGTTCAGATATAGTCGCAAAATTTTAGAAACCAAAAACACGACCGTCTTCAATTATCAGCGACGGAGCTTGTACTAAATACTAATGGAACTCCGATTGCAACATGCAATAGTGATTGGAAAGTCAGAAACTCATTTGCAACAACCATATTATTACAGGATATTGATATCTATTTAGAAAACAAATATTTTTATATTCTCCAAACAAGGGTGCGGATTGCCCCAAGGCTTGCCCGGTTTGTTGTGCTCCGTTAGAATCCCTCGAGCATTTGTTTCTTTCTTGTAGGGTGGCAGTCGAGTTGTGGGATGGGAGTGGCCTAGGTGAGGTTAGACGGGGATTGGAGCATTTGAACATTGCCTTGTTCTTCCGTCGTGTCCTCGAGCGGGATTCGTCTGCGGAAAGGGTAATGAGGCTGGTTGCACTGCTTTGGCGGATTTGGAAAGGGCGAAATTGGGCTTACCATGATCATATACAGTATCGGGTTCCAGTCTTACTCCGGCAATACCATGAGCAGGTTCGTGAGTGGCTTGCTCTTCCTCAACAGGCAGCGCCTGCTCCGCCGGTTTTCGGTCCGGTTGCTGCGGCTCAAGGAGGGCTGGGGGAATCAGCCACTTCTTTTATTTGCTCGGTAGATGGGGCAGTAGAAAAGGGGTCTCATTCGGCGGGGGGTTTGGTAGTGCGGAATGGTCGAGGGAGTGTAGTGTTTGTGCATGGGTTTCTTTTTGCAGGTGTGGATGATCCTTTCATTGTGGAGCTGTTGGCGCTGCGGGATGCTATTCGTTGGTGCTCTTTGAAGGGTCTCAACGACGTAGTATTCCAAGGAGATGCAAATGCAGTTCTTGACAAGGTAAGAGGGAAAGATACCTGGGATGTCGGTGGTGGTACTATTCTTGAGGAGATTGATTGGCTTCGTCAGCATTTTGTCCATTTCTCGGTGGAATTCATTGGTAGGCAAAACAATTGGGCGGCCCATTTGGTGGCTAAGAAAGCCCTTTCTTTGTTTCCTGCGGGAGTTCCGGGGTTTGATTTTCTTGGTTGGTTTCATTCGAGGTTGTAATTTTGGTTGTGTGAACGTTGTTATCTGCTCTTTCTTGTTAATGCAAGTGATCTTTTGGCAAAAAAAAAAAAAAATACAACTTCTTTCAGTTTTATGAATATATTTAATTATAAGGTTAATATACTTTAATTTGGCATGAACTTTAATTTACACTATAGACTACTTTTACTTGTGGTTTCTAAAATACACATTCTTTATTCTTTACCTAAACTATTCCCCATGCATATAGATCAATTTGGCCAAAATCCTAAATCAACTGTTAAGATTAACGATTAATGTTATGAATGACGGTCAAAGTGTCATGCCATCATAAAATATAATAAAAAATACAAAATATAATCACTGTTTAAATAGTTTCTCCAATATTTCTTATTTACATTTAAAATTAGAAAATATAGACAAATTATTTTTAAAAAAGACTTATCCCATTATCTGATCCCTCTCTCTCCTCACCTCACTGATCTCTTCTTCCCAAAACTCTCCCTCCCATCATTCTCCATTCTAACGAAAATTTCACTCTTTTTGCCTTCCTTCTCTTCTCCCGTCTCCACTTCACTTCCTTGAACTCTGCACTGAAAGCTCAAATCCGAATCTGCAGTGTAGGTGGCTCCGCCCTTTCCCTTTTTGTCTAAGGAAAGCAATAATCTCTCCCATTAGAAAAGACATGTATTCTCCTCCTCAATAAATTACTTGTTCTCAATAATTCGAATTATTAAAAATAAGTTTGTTAAAATTTTTATCTCTCATACGCCCATTCAAATGAATGCTGACTTTTGTTTTTTTTTTATAGTTTGCATAGGCTGAAAGTATCATCCATTGCGCTACTAAACCATTAGACTTTCAATTCGCACAGATTGGTCATATCAGTCCTTGAGCAAACTGAAAATACGTATATAGCTAAACCAATTTGGAGCTAAAATATGAAACGAATTTGCATAAGTTAGCCTAGATTTTTTGGCCATAGCTTAGGCCACAACCGATGTTGTTTCGGCCATAACTTAGGATAGGGGTGGGCAATGGGCGGGTTGGATGGGTTTTGGTCTCAAATTGTCCCACCCACTTATTAGCGTGTGACCCGCAATCAACCCACATACTTATGCGGGTTGGGTTGGGTGGGTGGCGGATGGGTGCGGTTGGGTCACGGGTCAACCCGCAAAAGCAATTCTTCAACTAGCCATTAGGAAAGTTGACTAACATTTATAATAAGTTCAAAGAAAAATTAGTAAGACTGTATCATTAATTTGTGATTTTGATACATTAATAATTTATAGTTTGCATCCCAATATTTAATGGTTATTAATAATAATCTGCATACCAATATCCAATATCTAATGATATTGCACAACACAATGACCAATAATAGTATTCAAAACTATTATTTATTCTTCACCTTTTGAAGTATATGGTCAGACTGTAGTGCAGTTCGAAAATATGATGAATATTCGATACTATAAGGAACAACATTATTTTCTCATGTAAAATAGGATGCAGGTCATATGGGTGACCCGCAATCCACCCACTATCCACCTACATAAGTGCGGGTGGAAAATTTAACAATCCGCAATTCACCCACATCAATTACCCACTGCGTGCGGGTCGGATTATTTGCGGGTGGATCGATATCAATCCGCGGATTAACCACCAACGTGTCCACCCCAGGCTTAGGCCACGACATATGTTTTTCGGCCAAGGTTTGCAGAGAATTCTTGGTAGCGTCAGACCTCGGCAAGCCTTGGGCGAAAAAACTCGACGACTGGCTCACAATGAATAGTCATGTGTTTGGTACAAAAGACTGAGTCATTTATGGCTTGAGCATGAAAGCATGAGATATGGGAAATTGGGAATAGAAAGGACAGTGATTTGATCGACCATCATATTGCTCTAACAGCAGACTCGAGACTTGGACATAGAAGGGGCACAAGGTTGATAATCTACGCAATGACTTGGCTTGGCGTGAGAAGGCCAACCTTGGCCGTGGGACGGGGTTAAATCTATGAAAAGCACTTGACAACAACATTAGCTCACGATGAACAGTCATGTGTTTTGGTACGAAAGACTGGGTCATTTGTTCCTTGGGCATGAAAATACGTTTAATTAGCTATATATATACGTAATTTCAGTTTAATATCAGGCTTTCAGTTTGCACCATATATATGTATATGATTATGGATAAGTATAGTATGACCTTTGGCCGTATGATTCTTTTCATATTTAGCTCAAAATTAGCTTAGCTATAAACGTATTTTCAAATTTCGTTAAGATGTATGTTCAATAAACTTATACCTGAAGTCCATCTTAGATTTCCAGCCTTCAGATTCTCTGTATGTAAGAAAATGTCATAATGTAACAAGATAGGATAACAGGGAGGAAAAAAGGATCATTACCGTCCCCATATGAAATAAGGAGGACAATAACAAGACGGTCCTTTGATCGATTCGTCGCCACCCCCATCTAGCCGTTCAAAGATCCTCTGTTTATTATATGACAACAACCAACGAGAGTAGTGAGGCTTGTAATTCCATTCCTGTACAAATAATATTAATATATATATTAGCTTCGCCGGCATGCAAACTCAACGACAGTAGCAATGCTACAAATACTCAACTTGAAGACACGTGGTTACGTACGTTTACGTACCTACAGCTTGTGACTATATATATATGCACCTATCACGTACAGTTAAAAAACATGAACAAATAGCTAGCAGATCGAAGTTGATTAGATCGAGCTTTTCCATGGCGATGCAGTATTCTGCGAGTGTGTTCGTATTAGCAGTATGTATAGCTGCGGTAACCGGAGATGGTGGGCTCCCGCCGGCGGGGACGCCCTTGTGCAGTGATCAAGTGTACACGGCGGCGGATAGTTTCGCCGCCGACATTGATTTAGTTCTCAGGGACCTGCCCGGGCTGGATTCGGAGTTCCTGCCCACCATCGACGTGAACGTGTACTCTCCCGATCACCATCATCCGGTGGCTTACGGGCAGCGGATATGCACCGACGCCGCCGTCGTATGCGAGCCGTGTTTCGAAGACGCGCATAGCGCCCTGATGAGCGACTGTCGGAATAACCACAAGGCTGGCGGCCAGGTAACGCTGAAGAGTTGTTTCATGAGGTATGAGATCTACAATTTCATATAACAAAGAAAAAGATGTAATTTCTGTTGTTCGAAAAAAGCTAGCTAGCTGCGGGTGGAGCCAAATGTTGAAATAGAACAGCTAGCGATTGTGGTTATTACGTTTAGATTCGATTTGGTGACATGGAAAGTTCATTTGTCGTATACTTATTTTGGTGAGCAATCTACTATTAGAAAAAAGAAATATTATTTCGAATACTTAATATGAGTTTTTACTTTTGAAGAAGTCATAAATATATCACAATCTTACCAGGATCGATAGGAGTACACGTATATTCAAGCAGTATATGAGCCTTATTCGTATGTAATAATGATTGGAATACTTTTGGAGTATCGTACTCTTAATGATCTCACCCGAATATCGCAACCAAAATTTCCGGACCAACAACGACACTATTATTGCATTCAATCCAATTTGATTCGTTCCATAAATATGCGAAACTACGAGAGTTGAACGATGTGATATCTTCACCCTTCTTAATCACGCAAGAGGAGACTCCAAAACTCCACCGCCGCCGCCGCCAGCGAAGCCTGTCCGCGGGCGGCACCCGCAGCTGAAGAAGCTGTTCAAACAAGAGGAGGGGGGGCGACGGTAGCGATACGGATTCCTCGGAGGAATTGGAGGGCCTGCCGGGGGGGACGTACTGTGTGTGGAACCCTAAAAAGGGGCCCGACGACGATAGTGGAGGTCGCAAGGAGGAGTTGGAGACGGCGCCGGAGATTCGCAAGAAGAGCAAGTCCACCGGCTACGATTCCAAGAGGTGGAAGTTCAGGGACCTGCTTTACCGGAGCCACAGCGACGGTAAGGACTCGTTCGTGTTCCTGGCTCCCAAGAAGACGGCGGCGGCCGGCGGTGGAGATAAGATTAAGGGCCGGAGGCTTCAGTTTTGGGTCCGACGGTTACAATTCCAGAGCAACGGTTACAATTCCAGAGGCGATTCCAACTGCGATCCGTTTCAGATACGTTTGTTCTTTCTCTTTCCTCCCTAATTTTAATATTTATTTATTTTCAGTATATAATTTTAAAATTTTTTAATTTTATTTTCTTTAACTGCTCGTATATATAAACTTTTCATTATCTTTACTGGAAAAAAAAAAGTAATAAAAAATGTTTTTCTTTTGACCTTGTTAGCTTTTGATTCGGAGTTTCCGACTAAGCCTCAATGGCTTGTTTAAGTCCATTCGGTGGAGCTTAGTTGTCCTCCAGTATTGGCGCTTGTGTGTTTGTTTGTTTTTGCAGGGGCACGTAGTTTTCCCTTGACCATACAAGCATCCATCCATTATGATTCCATCTCGTGATATGACGCATGCGACTGGTGGAGCGATCTTGGAAGAGATTTGTTTGGCGTCTGTGTCTTTTAATTTTTTTATTTGTACTTTTACGCAGAGGTTGTAGAACAGGGCTGCCCACTTAGTGGCTTCTAATGCCCTTTCATCGACAGCTCGATATTTTGTCGACTGTCGCGTCTGGTTTTCTAGCGTCCTGTAATATCTATTTCATTCCCGATCTATGAAAAAAAAAATCACGCAAGAGGAGAGGACAGATACGTACTCAGCTCACCTAATGGGCCAACGAACTACACTGCTCGGGATTCCTGGGCTAGATTCCTGGGCTGGGCCAATTTATACTGCATGGACGGGGACAAGGCCCACGTGAACATGTTCGGGTAGTGCGTTGGGGAAAAGCGGCACAATAGTAGGAACTATTTAATTGGTTGAGTTATCAACTTGTAGTTTTCTTTTGGTTACTCCGACTCAATAATCCGGTGATAAAGGCTAAGCGCTTCATAAGATGGGTAATTGTTAGAATATGACTTGAATTTGATTTGGGTTTGTTTTGTGTTTTAGGTCTATTTTGTTTGGGTTTGGGTTTGGCCCTTTTCCTTGTATGTTTGGGAAAAGGTATTTGGTTTTCTGTTTGGGATTAGGAGAAGAGTTCTATAAATACTCTTCATCGCCCTAGTCTGTTGTAAGGTCAGTCAGGTTAGTTTGTTTGGTTTGTCCGTTTGGAATTTGGTTTGTAACCTGTACTCTCCTCAAAATCAGTGAAATTTGTTCTCCTCTGCCCGTGGATTAGCTAGCACAAATTGTGTTAGTGAACCACGTTAAATTTGTGTTCGTTCGTGTTGATTTGGATTATCGATTGCACGCTTCTGTTCTGACAAGTGGTATCAGAGCCTGGTTTCGATCCAGGGATTATTTGAAATTGTCTTCACGGATTTCGGGATTGCGTTTCTGGTTGAGGTTTATGCGAACAGAGCACGAATTTGACTTGTTGATTTCCTGTAGCTTTGGAGTTATTGGAAAAGGACGCTTTGAAGCGTTTTCTCTTTGAAGAGAGGTGATCAAAACACTTCGTATTTCCACACGGTTACTCGGGCTAGACGGAAAAGAAACTTTGTGGAGGGGCTTCGTAATGAGAATGGGGAGTGGATCACAGAGGAGAAAGGGAAGGCGGAATTGGCCACTGATTTTTATCAAACTCTTTTCTCCTCTGAAAATCAGGTTCCTGATATGCGGGCGAGGGTTGATGCCCTTCCGCTGAATCGGAAAGTCACTGATGATATGAATGCTCACCTCATTGCGCCGGTCCTCCCTGATGAGGTTCGGCGAATAGTTTTTTCCATGGGGTCTAAGCAGGCCCCGGGATCGGATGGGTTCACCGGGAAATTCTTTAAATCCTTCTGGGATATTGTGGGTCATTCGGTGGTGGAGGCTGTTTGTTCCTTTTTCCAATCGGGCAAACTCCTTCGCAGTTTTAATCATACGTGGCTCACTCTGATCCCGAAGGTTGATAATGTGGAGACCATTCGGCAATTGCGGCCTATTAGCTTGTGCCAGTTCGTGTATAAAGTTATTACCAAGATTATGACTGAGAGACTGGCCCCGTTCCTGCCCATGATTGTGTCGGAAGGGCAGAATGCGTTTATCCGGGAACGTCAGATAGTGGAGAATGTGTTGCTGGGGCATGAGCTAATGCATTACCTAAAAATAAAAAATCGGGGGAAGAAAGGATACATGGCTCTAAAGGTTGACATGGAAAAGGCCTATGACAGAGTCGAATGGTCCTTTCTTCTTACGGTTCTGGCCAAACTGGGTTTCAGCCTGACCTGGATTGGTTGGATTAGGGAATGCCTTAGCTCGGTTTCATTTTCCATTCTTATGAATGGATCCCCGGCGGGTTTCTTCCGTGCTTCTCGTGGTTTGCGGCAAGGTGACCCCCTTTCTCCTCTTCTCTTTGTACTCTGCACAGAGGGGTTTGCGGCTCTCCTTCGCAAGGCGATAGCGGAAAAGAAGTTAGAAGGTGTGAAAGTGGCTCCTCGTGCTCCTCGTATTGCTCATCTGTTTTTTGCGATGATTCATTTTTATTCCTTCGAGGTTCGCTTGAGCAATGCGAGAATCTGATTGTGGTCCTTAATGAATATGAAGAGCTTAGTGGGCAGAGGGTTAATTTGGGGAAGTCGGCTGTATGCTTCAGTAAGAACATCACTAGTGCTGATCAGGAGTTTCTCGCCCAGGTTCTGGGGGTGGGGGCCGTGGGCGTCCATGATAAGTATCTGGGCCTTCCGTCCCTCATCTCCCGTTCAAAGACGGACACTTTTCAGTTTGTGGAGGAACGGTTGGTAGCCCGACTTCAGGGATGGGCTCGGCGTTCGTTGTCTATGGCGGCTAGAGAAACTCTAATCAAATCTGTGGCGTCTGCTCTTCCTCTGCATGTGATGTCTTGCTTTAAGCTGCCCCTGTCGCTATGTCGCACCTTGGATAGGCTGGTTGCGCGATTTTGGTGGGGTGTGGAGGATGGACATTCTCGTGTTCGGTGGATGTCTTGGCGTAGGATGTGTCAGAGCAAGCATGAGGGTGGGATGGGGTTTCGCCGGTTTGAGTTCTTCAATCAAGCGCTTCTTGCTAAGGTGGGCTGGCGGATTCTTACTGATCCCCAGTCTCTCCTGGCACAGGTGTATAAAGGAAAGTATTTTCCGCGAGGGGACTTCTTTTCTGCGACTCCCCGCTCTCGGCCTTCTTGGGGGTGGCAGAGTATATTGTATGGGAGAGCCTTGTTGGTTCAGGGGGTTAGATGGCAAATTGGAGATGGGAGAGGGGTGGCTGCTTTGACTGATAACTGGATTCCCTCGTTTCACCCTAATCCCCCCAAATTCAATCCTCGGATTCTACCGGAGGGGACGGGTTTAAAGGTGGCAGAGTTCATTTGTCCGAATGAGCGAGTGTGGTTATTGGATAAGCTTGGAGATTGGTTCCCCCCTGAGGTTTGCCGTGCTATCCGTCGAATTCCTTTGGCTAGAAGGGGGATTGAGGATAAGCTGGTTTGGCATGAGACAGGGGAGGGTATTTTCACTGTGAAGTCGGCATATCATTTAGCTGTTCGCCTTGATCAGACAGCTGGTGGGTGGCGCCCGATGGTAAGTTGGATGGATCGGGGAAGCTGGAAGCGGGTGTGGAATTTGTCTATTCCGCCTAAGTTGAGGGTGTTCCTGTGGCAAATCTTACATAGGTTTCTTCCCACTACTGAGGCTCTGATTGGCAGGAAGGTGGATGTTCATCCTCGGTGCCCGGTTTGCTGGATGGCACCTGAAACTATGGAGCATCTATTTTTCGATTGCTGTGTGGCTCGTGCGCTTTGGGATTTAACGGGGTTAGAGCATGTGGGCCAGGGTTTACCTAGACATACTTTCCCCTTATTCCTCAAGACCTTGCTGAACATTGTTCGGAATCCGACTCAGGTTATGGCTATTGTAGCGGTCCTCTGGCGGATTTGGAAGTCTCGTAACTGGGTCGTCTTTGAGGGCAAGCAGTTTGGGCTTCCCGCCCTTCTTCGGCAGTTTCACCAGCAGGTGAGTGAGTGGGATGCGCTTCCTCAGGAGGAAGTGGGTGCAGCCCCTACGCGGGTCATCTTGGCTGGACCGCCTGATAGTCCTAACCATTTCATTTGTAGATGGGATGGTGCTGTCAGAGCTGGTTCGCATTCAGCCGGGGGGATGGTCTTGCTGAGTCCGGATGGGGGTGTGGTTGGTGCGAGGGGGGTGGTTTTTCCAGGGGTTGATGAACCAATGCTGGTTGAGGTGTTGGCCCTCAGAGAAGCCATCCTCTGGTGTCGAAGCCGTGGGTGCTCTTTGGTTTGCTTTGAGGGGGATGCGAAGGTAGTGGTGGATAGACTCCGTTTGGCGCAGGGGAGTGATAGCACGGCGGGTGCAATTTTCCGGGAGGTGTTGCTCTACTTGGAGGAGAATGAGGGGTTTAGCGTTCGTTTCGTTGGTCGGCGTAGTAATAGGGTAGCCCATGTGGTGGCTAGAAAGGCCCTTTCTTTGTACCCGATAGCGATCCGTTCTTTTAATTTTGTAGCCTGGCTGAGGCAGGCGTTGTAATGATCTTTTTGAGTATCAATATAATGATTATCTTTTGTCAAAAAAAAAAAAGAAGCGTTTTCTCTTTTCTCGAATCCGTGAAGCTTGTGTGCTCTTTGGAATTACTAATTGTAATTGGGTAGCAATTTTGGTTTGGACTGCACGCAGTAGCATCGGAGCGCTCTGCCGTACTTTTCTAGAATTCGTTGGAGTTGCGTTCCCGTTGGGAGCAAATTGTGCTCTACCTGTGGCCTTGGAATTTGGCATCTCTACGGGGTCAAGCAAAGCCTACGCAATTATAATTTGAGATTATTAATTGCCAAGCGGTGGATTAATTATTAGATTGGAAATTTGGAATCATTACTTTTGTTTGGTGGCCACAAGTTTAGTTCGTGGGAATTAGAAGGGGACTTCAATTTGCAAGTTTTTGGAGTTTTACAGGGGTTGGTTTACAACTTCAAATTTGGAATAGCTGCAGTGGACTTTGGTTTTGTTAGCTTGGTTGAATTAGGGTTTTTCTTATGGCTGCCATCAGTATGAAGATTGAGAAGTTTACAGGAAGAAACAGTTTCAGTTTGTGGCAGATCAAGATGCAAGCACTGTTGAAATAACAGGATTTGTGGGCTCCGT